AATAATCTTATGATTTTCCTAACTAAGTTTTAAATAAGTATCATTCTAAAAGTCTTAAAACTATATAATAAAATTAGTCTTAATATTCAACTATTTTTAGATATTTGGTTTAGAAGTTTTAAATTTTGATTTTGAATGCTTCTATTTAATTTTAGTAATATTCATGTTAAATGTTATTTACTTTTAACAGGATTTAGAAAATGAGATTAAATTATTAGTGTATTAAAAAAATTAATTTTAACTTTCAAGAATTATTTATGCATTGCTAGAAATTTAAAGTTATTTTTTATTGTTTTTAGTGTCTCTAGTGATGTAACCAAGAAGAATTTTCAGAAATTTTCAATTTTTACAAATGTAAAAGAGTATAAGAATTCGTTTATAATTTACCTTTTATTATGTTTTTACTGATTTGAATTTAATGTATTTTATAGTTATACTTTCTATTTGATGTTAAAATATTTTTATATTATCTTATATATTTAATAATGTTAAAAATCGATCAATCCGGCCGAATCACACCGATCCAATTTAAATTGGATTGGTTTGGTTATCACATAATAATGGATTAGATTGGTTTAAAAAATAGTAAAATCCGAACCAAATCACACTGCGAACACCCCTAACGTAGAGATACTAGATGCTAGTGATTAGAAATGTGAACATGTCGAAAGTTTTTGCGCACAAAATTAATTTCTCTCGGATGGGATAGATCTTGCAAAAATTCACCTGACCCGTCAACTTGATCCTAATTCAACTTGTAAAAACAGATTAGGTTCTACGTATCTCAATCTGTAACCCGTAAATAACCCATATTATCAACTCGTATGGGTCACAAATTGGGTTAGGATCAACCCGCGAGTTTACGGGTTGATCCGTTTGTTTTATTTTTATTATTATTTTTAAATATTTTACAAAATTTATAAATTATTTTAAAAAACTTTTTAGATTAAAAAAAATTTAAATGATAGCTATTAGATTAATTATTGAATTAAGCCAGAAGGTTAATTGTTTATTATTTTCAATTAAAGAAAAAGGATTGGCTTCACATTGTCAAGGAATTTTTTTAAAATGAAAACATAAACGCCTTATCAATTCCCTGTCCTGGAAATGCTACTTTCAAAAAAGGAAAAATTCCTGGAAATGCTTGGATCCAGCAAATTCTTAGCTTAAGAACAACGCAGCCAGCACCGTGTGAGGTAAAAGCTTGCAGCTTTTTTCACCGGGAAAGTCCAAGTCCGCTAAT